CCCAAAAAGAGAACCACTGATCAGGGTAAAAGGTCAGACCAGGGGAGAGACCACAGACCAATTGGAGCTGTATGCAGCTCACTTGCCCCAAGGGAGGTTGTCCCCAGAATGCAGCTTTCTCCTTTACCAAAAAAACAAAACAAACAAAAAAAAAAAAACTTCCCAAACAAAAGGAACCAAAGACACTCTAAAGACACTCTAGCCCATTGCTACTGCTTTATATGTTAAGAAGTAAGGCTCAGAGAGGTGTGACCCTTGTCTTCTTGTATCACATCTCCTGCCACCTTTTACCCTCCCTGTCAAAGCCAGCCCTGCAATTGTCTTCAGTCCTCCTGGTATGACTCTTAAATGGTTCAGCCCTGGTTTTTCCCCACGCCCCATCCCTCTTAGTCTCTGGGCATTCAGGGTCCCTATATTTTTATTCCCTCCCCAGAGATTTGTTCTTGATCTTTTTATTGACACTAGAGTGAAAAAGTCTCAAAGCCTTAAAGCCTGATGCTCCAGCTCTAAAATTCCCAGGAGATGAAAGAAGATTAAGATTTAACAGGGTGCTGAGCCCTTTGGGAGGCTGAGGTGGGCGGATCATGAGGTCAGGAGTTCGAGACCAGCCTGGCCATCATGGTGAAACTCCATCTCTACTAAAAATACAAAAATTAGCCAGGTGTGGTGGCACACACCTGTAATCCCAGCTGCTCAGGAGGCTGAGGCTGGAGAATTACTTGAACCTGGGAGGAGGAGGTTGCAGTGGGCCAAGATTGCGCCACTGCACTCCAGCCTCGGTGACAGAGCGAGACTCGGTCTCGAAAAAAAAGTCTTCACAGGGCTTTCTGAGAATCTCTAAAATAGTAGCTCAGAAAGAAAATAGTAGCTTCCAAAAAAGGATGTCACTAGATTTGGCCTCAATCCTCTAGGCAGGCTACTTTCTACAATAGAAGAGTAAAAACTGAAAATTTAGTAGAACTATATGATATTGCACTAACATATGGGTCAGAGGTAAAGAAAAGCAGAAAGGGGGTGGAAGGATTAGAGACAACAAGTAAACACAGCCCCCAAATGGGAAATGTCCATTCTGATGAACATGTCCTCTTTCTCCTGGTGTTATGGAGAGACCATGTGCTTTCTTATCAGAGAGACTTGAGCCTTTTCATTTATTCACACATTTATCTGACAAATATTGCTCAAGTGGCCACTAGGCACTCCAAATTATGCTAAATTTGACGTCTAACTTTTACTTGGTAAGACAATTAAATCTTTTAGAGGCATAAATGTTAGGAGAAATAAAAAATTAGAATTTTGGACTACAGAAGCAATATATACTGTAGTTAATGTTTATACTCTGGAATAAGTTAAATCCAGGTTCGAGTCCAGGTTCTGACACATTGCAGCTGTCAGTTGATCTCTTCCAACCTCAGTCTTCTCTTATGTAAAATGGAGATTATGATCATTATTACCTCACACCATTGTTGCATGTATTAAATGAGATAATGGGTACAATGTACTTAGTACACTTTTGAGAGAACAAACATGCAATATGATTAACAATTATTTAAATAGGAGGAGGCAAAATCTGAACTGAAGATAACCCTGTCTACTAAAAGACAAGGAAGGAATGGAAGTGATAAATTTCAATATCATTTCATTTTGTAGTAGTTGAAAGTGCCTGTAAAATTTAGTGAAGGAGAGAAAAGAGATGCAAAATCAACACATAGAATGAAAGTTTGGGATTACTTTGGGACTCTGATTAACTATGCTTTATTAACATAGAAAACCAGGAATTATTAGAACAGAGCTTTTTAAATTTAATCTTTAGGGATTCTATTAGGATGCAGGTTCTGATTTAGTCTGATTTTAGGTCTGGGCTGCAGCCTGAGACTCTGAATCTCTAACAAGCTCCCGGTGGCAACAACGCTGATGGTCCCCAGATCACATTTTGAGTAGTAAGGGAGGTTAGATTAAATTAGAATTTAAGCTATATTCACATAATATATATATATATGTTTGTATATACATATCTGTGTATATATATGCTAGATGAAATTAGAATTTAAGCTATATGCACATATTATATGTGTGTGTGTGTGCATGCAGTTAGTTTATTGTGAACATGCAGGGATATATGTATCATATACTGTATGCATACATAGGCATACATTATATGTATACAGATATAGACATAGATATATAGATATGGATATAGATACAGATATTCCCTCATGCTAGCAATAAATTTGTAGCTGGGTTCCTATTTTCCTGCTCTGGTTCCACCACAAATTCATGTTATGGCTTATTTTCTTCTGGCTTCATTTCTTCATTTTAGGGAATGAGGGCATTGAACAATGTTTTCTAAGTTTCCTTCCAGCTTTAGCTTCCTAGTTGAACTTTTTTCCACTGGGATAAAACAGACATTTACTTATAATTGCATGGGATTTGAGAGATATGGAGAAAGCAATTTTTGATCCTCAGGTATTTTGTTCACGCTAGCCCTCGGGAAAATCCTCACGGAGCCCACTACTCTGGAATCATTTGAAATATAGAAAATTTAACACATTTTTCCTTATATGAATGTCAATGAAGGAACGATACATAGATATTATTTAGAAAAACAGCATTAGACTTCCATTCAGAAAAATTTAGTGTGGCTCAATGTCGTAAACAAAGCCTAAAGCATTCAGCTTCATATCTTTTACAATTTCAAAGAATTTGTTGGGTGGATGGGAGGGTGAGAGTGGGGCTAGGAGGGAAGTACAGAAAGAACCTTTAAAAGCACCATGGAGAGAAGAGTCACCTTGGCAAATATTCCAGCTCAGAGCATCTCTTTAGCTGGCATGATCACTTAGACACACTTGTTCCTGCAACACCACAGCTATACAAATTGTTCACATTTTCTTCTTGCAAGTTTTTGCCACATTTTTGTGATTTATGAGCTAACCAGCTTCATAGCTAGCCTTTTACCTTGTCATATTTGTCTGCATTTTCGGAGCTAATCCAGTCTGCCTATTACTTTTCCTGGCTGCATTGCATTAACAAGGAAATGGAGCCATTAAAAGCACTGTCTCTGATAGGAAGGGAATCCATAACTAGGCAAAGGGATAATGCTATTGTTAAGGGAATCAAGACCCTTCCCAAATCCATTGACCTTCTGTTTTTTTCTTTTAAAAAAAAATTATGTTCTTTTTCTGACACTGCAAAGTATTTAGATGCAGCTACAAAGTATTTAAATGAAACTGCAAAATAAAAATTTTTGGAATATTTTGACTAGCTTTTTATCAGAAAAAAAAGACTTAAATGGTGAAACCCCATCTCTACTAAAAATACAAAAATTAGCTGGGCATGGTGGCGAATGCCTGTAGTCCCACACCTGTAGTCCCAGCTACTCGGGAGGCTGAGGCAAGAGAATTGCTTGAGCCCAGGAGGCAGAGGTTGCAGTGAGCCGAGATGCCGCCATTGCACTCCAGCCTGGGTAACAAGAGCAAAACCCCAACTCAAAAAAAAAAAAAAAAAATAGATACTTGAGATGCATGCCTGTAATCCCAGCACTTTGGGAGGCTGAGGCAGGCAGATTACTTGAGGCCAGGAGTTTGAGACCAGCCTGGCCAACATGATGAAACCCCCTCTCTACTAAAAATACAAAAATTAGCCAGACATGGTGGTACACGCCTATAATCCCAGCTACTTGGGAAGCTAAGGCATGAGAATTGCCTGAACCTGAGAGCCAGAGATTGCAGTAAATCGAGATTACACCACTGCACTCCAGCCTAGGTGACAGAGTGAGACTCTAACTCAAAAACAAACAAAAAAAGTACTTGAGGTGACCTTGCCCAAGTCGTCTGGACAATTCCTTCTCTTAACTCTAATATACCCTCCTTCAGACATGCTGTTAGTACTGGCCCAGGCTATGAATGGTCAGCCAAGGTGCTGGATGATTTTGCATATAGACAGTATATTTGTCTATTTCAGAGATTACATTAAGAATCAATATTCTCTTCATTGTGTTAAGAGTAATAATAAGTAAACAGGCAAAGGATTTGATATTTATTCCAAAATTTAAATGAGCTCTTATTTAAGCACCTTGAGCAATATCTGAGATTTATAATCCATATCTGAGATTTAAGTCACTAAAAAGCCTAATGATAAATGAAACTAAATGAGAGGTGTGGGTAAATTAGATGTATCTATACATGTGCACATAATTACACCAGAATATGTATGTATAATTTGCCTTTAACAGTATTTCCATCTATACCTGAAATTCCCAAGTGTCTTCAAATAAGGACAGCTTTGTGATGTCATGCCTTTAATGGGGCCCTGTTACCATGGGGACATCACAGCTCTTTCTCAGAATAGCAATTAGATCTGACAATTGAAGAAGCTGGAGAATTTCAACTAAGCCAACATACTTAGTATCTTCCAGCACCTACAAATTTGAAAGTTATCCAGTTCTGAAGTATTGCCATTTGGCCTGAGAAGATATTGACTTCTGGCCATGTTTCAAACAAGTGCACATATATAAATAAACACCTATTCAATCCTTTATCTTCCAATTGCCTATAACATGGAAATATATATTGCTAGGTCCCCTTTATTCAACAGCAACTGAGTAGAACCAATTAATTCATTCACTGGTGCATTTGTTCAGCATATATATTTTGAGTGCCTTGAAACTATCTCCAGTGCCCAGCATAGCCCATAGCATCTAGGCTGTGTGTGTGTGTGTGTGTGTGTGTGTACATACATATGAATATATATAGCTATATATATATATGTATGTGTGTATGTATATATATATATATATAAACTTCATACCTTCAATGACCTTGAAGTACAGCAAATACTTATCATGTGTTAAAAGATGGAAACACAAAGATATACTATGAAGAGAAGTAGGAGTTGGAGGACCAATTGGGTACAGAGAAGAGATTATGAAAGATCAAGTGAGTGCCTCTGGAAAAACTTCAAGAGCAAAAAGATGGGCCTCCTAAGCCAAAGCAATTAAATTCCTCTCCCTCTGACCACACCAAAGAGCATTTAACATGCATGATGGTCTCAGGTCAAGAATATGTTAAATAGTTGACAGCTATGTGGCCTCTAGCTTTCCACGAGGTGGGGCATGACATACAAATCATACCAATAGCAACCAGACAACCAAGGCCACAGCCAACAGAAATGCAACCAAGAGGGCAAAGATAATGGTTTGCCTGAGACAAAGATGGGAGGAATTTCCTAATTGTTCCCAGTATGCAGTACTTATCACAGAGATGAATAAGCTGACAAAAGACTAGCATCTCTCAATGGCTTACAAACCCATCTAGGTTTCACTGCCCAATGGAATGAAGTAAAATGAACTTAGTAGGCTAAGGTTACCTTAGAATTATCAGTGTCCACTTAATGTTTTTTATGTAGCATTTTCTATAGCTAAATTTCTTATATACTTTAAGCACTTATCAGAGTACTTATCCTATATATTGGACATTTCCTAGAACTGCTGAAACAAGAGAAAGCAAGTTGGGATTATGTTGAGGAGGAGGAGGAATAATAAAATATTTTTTCTTTGCCTGACATTCAAAGTCCTGGTGATTTTAGCAAGGTAAAGTGGTTCAAAATACCCCAGTAGAGCTCTGGCCCTGCGATGCAAGCAGGCAAATTGTAAAAAGTTTAGATTGTTAGTCTACTTAGAAAAAAATTTAACTGCATATCTCATTTGACTGTGCTTTGCCTGAAGGTCAATACAGTATAAAGGTTAAGGCCTTGGTTTCTGAAAATAAAGACTCTGGCTCTATTAATGGTCCTTCTCAGATTAATAGCTTAATAGCTGAGTAAGCTTGATCTAGATCTTTACTATCCCTAAGCCTCAGTTTCTCCATCTGAAAATTGGGCTAATAAAAATAGCTTATTCATACTGAGTGTCTTCTCTATGCCTTGCACTATCATACTAAACATTAACTCATTTAATCCTCTACATACCCAATGAAAAAGATACTTATTATTACTTTCATTTTGCAGATGAAAATCTCATGTGAATAGAGAGATTGAGAACTTTCCCAGGTCACATGAGTAGGAAGTGGTAGGGCTAGGATGGGAGGTCAAGCGGCTGGGATCTATAGCCTGTACTGCTAGTTACTATACTGAATAACTAAAAGAATACCAATTTCCATTAAGAAGCTAAGTTGAGATAATTATATGTATTTGTCTACTGGGACTGCCATTACAGAATGCCACAGACTGAGTGACTTAAACAACAAAAATATATACTCTCAGTCAAAAGTCTAAGACCAAAGTGTCATCAGTGTTGGTTTCTAGTGGGGCCTCTTGTCCTGGCTTACAGAGGACCTCTTTCTTGCAGTGTCCTTATGTGGCTCTTCCTCTCTGCTCCTGAATGGAGAGAGAGAGAGAGAGAGAGAGAGATCTCAGGAGTCTCTTTCTCTCTTATTAGGACACCAGCCTTATCAGATTAGGGCCCTACCCCTATGACATCATTCAATCTTTTTTTTTCTTTTGAGATGGAGTCTTGCTCTGTGGCCCAGGATGGAGTACAGTGGCACAATCTCGGCTCACTGCAACATCTGTCTCCTGATTTCAAGCGATTCTCCTGCCTCAGCCTCCCTAGTAGCTGGGATTACAGCCACATACTACCATGCCAGGCTAATTTTTGTATTGCTGGTAGAGGTTTTGCCATGTTGGCCAGGCTGGTCTTGGATTCTTGATGTCAGGTGATCCACCTGCTTCAGCCTCCCAAAGTTCTGGGATTACAACAGTGAGCCACTACACCTGGCCCCTGATTCAATCTTAATTACCTGCTTAAAGTCCCTGTCTCCAAAAATAGTCACATTGGAGGTTAGGTCTTCAACATATATATTTCACTGGGAAAATAATTCAGTCCATAATTCTATGTAAAGAATTTAGCATAGTAATTGATACACATAATAATTATTCACATAATGTTCAGTATGCTATGACAAAATACCATAAACTGAGTGGCTTATAAATAACAGAAATCTCTCACAGTCATGGAGGCTGGGAAGTCCAAGATCAAAGTACCCGCAGATCATAGTGTCTGGTGAGACCTATTTTCTGGATCATGAATGGTGCCCTCTTGCTGTGTCGTCACATGGTGAAAGGAACTAGTTAGCTCTTTGGAATCTCTTTTATAAGAGTACCAATTCCATTCATCAGCACTCCACTCTAATGACCTAATTGGCTCCCAAAGGCTCCACCTATTAATTCCATCACATTTATCATGAGGTTTTAACGTATGAATTTGGAGGGGACACAAACCTTACCATATAGTAACCACTTAACAAATATTACCTATTGGTATCTTATGGACTTATTTGGCAAACTGTAGAAATTGTCAAGTTTAGTAGAAACATGAAAATCAGAAATTGGAAATTTTAAGCTTGTTAATGCCATTTGAACAAATCAATTAATTTCTGTCCATCTCCTTTTCTTAAGCTGTGAATTATGATACACTCATTATCAAACATTAGTATGACCACATGTTTATGATTATATTCTTACAAAAATAATAGAATCTTAAAAAGATAGCTACTTTTGTAGGAACTATGTATTTTTTGTCACAACTACTTACATTTTGGAGGCTCTAGTCATTCCTGATCATCAGGCCTGCGTTAATCTAAAATTCTGATTCATGGAAATTTTAGGCCCTATTCTTTTATTGGGCTGTCTGAAGTTTGGCCAGGTTATATATCTATATTCCAGCACTTCCCTCTGCTATTTTTCACTTTCAGTGGAGAGCACTTTATAAATCCACCTCTTGTGAAGCTTCTTAAATGGCTTCAAGCTCATAATCTGTATAAGTCTGATTGTTGCTGTCTTTTCAGAGAGGAAGTCACTGCCCATCATATAATGCTTTAATTTGAGGTAAGTGGAATCAAAGAGATCTGCTAAGGTTCTATTTTTAATGTAGTTTATTTCTTTTAATTTCCTTTTTATCCCATCTGTTTTATGACTGACCACACTAACTCTGGTCCCAATTAAAAACTGGTAATTTTAGGTTTTCAGAAAAGAGGGATAACTCATCAGACGGACCTGCTGTAACTTAGGTTTTCCCTCTCTCTGGCCTTTCTGTGCTGAAAGTTTTGTCCTGCCTAAGATTGACTTTCTAATGAATTACGTGTAAATGTCAGCTTCCTCTCAACATTGGACACTCATGATATCTTCCTTCATATAAAGATGAACAATATCCATATTTTTTTATCTAAGAGAAGGGATTTTCCAGATAACTAGACAAGGTCACCTCAAGTATCTGTTAAGTCTTTTTTTCTGGTAAAAAAGCAAGTCAAAACATCTATTTCTCCTCCTCAATATATCTAACATCAAGGACTTCAAAGTATTATGAGAAGCAATATAATGAAGTTGTGAAAATATTTTTGCCAAGCGTTTTTAAAAAGTTGAAGAGTTTTTAACTTCTGTTGTGAGGTAAACATGATATTATACTACCTGAACATGGGAAAGTGAGTTAGGTAACTCTGAAGGGTGTTGTTCTATCTTAGATGACCACAGAGAGCATCCATGTGAGGAGATGAATAAACAAGGCTGAAATCCAGCCAGAACTTTGCTCACTAACCTGTGTACCCTGGCTCACGGTTGTGTCCACATAGAAGAAAAGCATTTTTTTTTGATTCACACAAAGGTACCATAAGGGGTAAGGAGACTCTGCTCCAACCCTACATGTCCATGGATTTAGATTTTGTTCACTCCATTTTTTAATTGGTAATAACAAGTATTCTATTCTACAGCCATTTAATGAGTATCGCTATATGCCATGGTCAATGTCCCCTATTCTTTCTGAAATATGTGATATCATTAGCGCTATTTAGGAAGTCTGATTCCAGGGCATCATTCCAAACTAAATACAGAATGATGATCTTTGTACCTATGGCTTAAGGGAGTAAGAACAGTTGACAGCATTGAATTTTGTCGACTCACCAAAAGCATTTTTTTATCTTCAGACCAAGAAACATTTCCAGATCTGAACCTTGCTGTATCATGATATCATGTGTATTTATGATGCATTTTTATTTCTCCCAGCTAAATTTCTTTTCCAAATGTGATCATCTTAAAGCAGCTACTAGGTGAAGAGTCAGAATACCTGAATTCAAGCATTGGCTTTACAACTTCTCACTTTTTGACCTTGAATGCGAGTCACTTGAGTTCTCAGGGTATTGCTTCCCTCTGAACAGCATGAACAGTGAAGAAAAACTAGCCTCTGACTCCACAGGGATGTTGTGAAAATAAATGAGATGTAGGTCTGGAGAGTCACTTTAAGCTCTTAGGAATGAAAGAGCTTAAAGAGATATAAGGTTTCTGTAGTTATTCTTTATTTTTTCAACCTCACAAGTGAGAAAGTTTCCACCTTGGTAAGTTTTGAAGAATACCGCCTCACTGACAGCCCCCACAGATCTGTGGCTTTGCCTCGTCCTCATTCACAAAGTCTATTGTAATTCTGACTATTGACTCAGTGAAAATTTTAAAAATCTGCCATATCCTTGGACAACAAAGAAGAGTGGTCACACTCTAGGTGGGGCAAATTATCTGCCAGCAGTTGGACATCATACTATACAGGATTCCACACTGGGTGTTAAAAAAAAAATCTAACAAGACGAAGAAGTGTTACATTGCAGAAAAGAGGAAGTTGCTAGGATAGAATTCCCACTCAGAATGTTGATCTGATACAGTCTAGAAGTCCATAGGAAATAAACTTCCAGCACTTTCTTTAGAAGAACTAAACTACATTTTGCCAATGTCAGAGATACACTCTTCTAATGCCAAGGTAGTTGTGAAAGAGAATCACAAATAACCAGCTAAAACTCCTGATCTTCTCTCTGCTCCCAGATGAAGAGTCTCTGACAGGTGATAGAGATAAGTACTGCATAACCTGTCACCTTATCTTCCTTAAGAGGGCAGCATAATCCATGGAGCTCACATAAACTCTCTAGCGGCTTTGATTCCATTCTGACATTCAGGGGAAAAGTTGACAGTCACAGATTAAAGGAAAACACTATAGTGAAGAGATACTTACAATAGGTAGCTCTGACTAAAGATGTGTTTTGGCAAGAATTAGCTGGAAAGAGACATTGGCATTCTGGCATGGATTTCTAAGCTAGTAGATCAAACTAACATCTTTGCCTTGATCTCATTGGGGCCCAGGTTGACTTACAGGCTTTGATTGTCTTCATTCATTCATTCCATAAATATTCATTAAGCACTGTAATGGAAATTGCTGGTAGTATCCCCAAATCTATTCTTACCTCCTGTATTAGTCAGGGGTCTCCAGAGAGGGAGAGAACCAATAGGCTAGAGATAGATAGATATAAATATATGAGAGGGGATTTATTCGGGGAATTGGCTCATGTGATTATAGAGGCTAAGAAGTCCCATGACAAGCCATCCACAAGCTGCAAACCCTGGGATGCTAATGGCGTGGCTCAGTCCAAGTCTAAAAGCCTCAGAACCAGGAAAGCCAATGGTGTCTTTTTCAGTCCAAGACCAAAGGTCTGAGAATCCTGAAGGGAACCTCTTGTTAAGTATTAGAGTCCAAAGGCTAGGGAACCCGGAGTTATCGTCCAAGAACAGGACAGGAAGAAGTTATCCCAGCCCCAGCAGCTAAATCGACATATTCACTTTCTCTCTGTTTTTGTTTTCTCCCAGGCCCCAGTAGATTGGATGGTGCATGTCCACACTGACAGCAGAGCTTCTCCACCTAATCCTTCAGCCTCATATCTAATCTCTTCTGATAACACCCTCACGGACACACCCAAAAATCATGCTTTATCAAGTTGCTAGGTATTCCTTAATTCAGTCAAGTTGACAACTAAAATGAACCATCACGCTTCCTTCCTGAGCTGATAGCTGTTCAACTAAAATGTTCATTTTCCAGTTGATCTTACAGGTGTGTGACCTAAGTGTGCACTAATGGAAACTGAGTGGAAAGAATAGGGGCAATTTCAGTATCACTTACCTTAAAGAAAAACCTCGACCTGGACTTCTGCTCACTCTTGCCTGCTTACTCAAAGTGGCAAAGTCAGGCCTACCCACCAGCCATAAACTATTATGTGAGAGGAAAATAAACATCTGAGTTTTAGATTCTCTTTGTTTCATCAGCATAGCCTGCATCTTTACAAATAGGTGTGCCTTATTAATACTAGATTGTGTGCAACATGATGAAAATTCTGCTTAGCAAAACACACATGGTGCATCGTCCCATGGAAAGTATAATCTAATTTCTATGATAGTCTGTCTGGGAACAAACCTGTGAGATAAGTGTGAACATACTTATCAATCAAAATAAAACAAGACAGGGAGCAAGAGTAAAAGAGTGGGTAAGAACTGGATTTCAGTGCCATGCAGGTACAAATTCAAGCTCTTGCAATAAATATCTTTTAGTAACCATGTCTTTAGGGAAATCATTTAACTTTTGTAAACCTCATTTTTATTCTTGTGGAGATAATAGAAATAATAATATGTGCCTAATAAGGCTGTGGTGATGATCTAAAGACTTAGGCATCTAGATAGCTTATCCTGGGGCTTGAGTTTACCAAGTGTAATTATCAGAGTTCAATTTTTTTCATTGCTCTTGTTATTTCTAAATTCCATCAGGAGGGGCTTAAAGAAAAGATAGAAACATCACGATCTCATTCAAGCCATATTATATGAGGCAGGAGTCATCATTCTCATTTTGTAGATAAGAAAACTGAATCTTAGAGAGACCACTACTTAGTAAGTGGCTGAGCCAGAATTTATTTTCAGGTGTCTGATTACTACACCAGAGGCATGACAATTAGACCCAGAAATCACTGCTTAGATATTAGTCCAATGAGGTTAATTCTTCAAGGTTACATCACAATTATCAGTTTCTTTCCACTACCTACCATACAAGTAAAACCCTTCTGAGAGTAAAGTTTCCAAGTCTGGAACCCAGTGCATAAGTTAGTACTCTCTTCCGTGTTCCTATGGCACTTTGCATCTCTGTTATCATTTAGTCACTATCTTATAATTCTTTTTACTCATCTGACATCCTCCACTGGAATGTGAGCACCTGAAATTTGGATTTCTTAAAAATCTCGGTCTCGGGACTTAGCATGATGCCTGGCATATGCTAGGCACACTATGAATAACTGTTATAAAGAATTGCCATATGAATAAATGAATAGACATTAAAAACTGGAGTGTGAGTAACCTACCTATTAAGGTGGTCATTTGTTTGATGCAAAGGAAATGGAGGCATTCAGTTTTGAAAATAAACAATTGGCAATAAAACATTTAATAAAATTTATCAAGCATAAGAAATTAGTACATAGCAGCCCCTTGATGGAAATAAATGTTTTCCAAAAGTCATATGCTGATTGCTTTGACCTCAAAGACAAAATGAAATGTTGTGCATCATCTGTTAGCGTTCAGTTAGCAAAAGCATTTTTAACCTCAATGGAAACTGAAATACTGTAAAATTGTGTTAGAACAATTGTAGCAAACAATATACTTGAAATGGCAAAGAGAAACACACAACAAAAATCAAGATTCTGTTCTTCAGTGAGAATAGGTTTAATTAGAGAAAAATAAGGAAGTAAACATTGACTTTCAAAGACCCTGAAGGCATTTCTGTGCATTTTCACTGGGTTTAGAAGTTCAAGGCACTGGTTCTTTATTCTCCCTAATTCCACATCAAAGCCTCCAGCTTTTACTCTCTTTACTATAGAGATATTGCAAGCAATATTCTATATAGAATAGTCTGGATTCACCCCTTTTTTCTCATAAGTGAAACAAAGAGAGGGAGACAGATATTTCTAAGATAACTGAAAAAGAATTGGAAACAAAAATAAATCTGTGATTTGTCTAAAGAAAGTTAAAGGGGGAGTGAGTAAACTGGCCAGAAATATAGTGCCTAGTATGAAGTTTACTGATCTACAATGAGGGAAGGTTAAAGAAATAAACAGATGAGCAAAAGCTTCATATACTTTTTTTTTTAAGTATTGAAACAGGTAGCAGGAAAGACAATGACTCACAGTATTCTTCCATGCTGGCCAACAAATAACATCATCAGCCCAAGGACTTTAGTTTGTTATTGAGGACAAACAGGAGGAGCAGATGCTTTGTTACAGGGGAGGATAGGAGATGTGATAGAGAATTTTCATTTACATAAATAGGTTAATTACAGCTTGATTTATTTTTAAATTCTGAGAAACTCAACTGATGTCTGTGGAGTAGAGAACACAAACGAACAACGTAACATGGAACTCTTTAACATGATATATATACAAAGACTATTGAGGCAGAGAAATCAATAGGAAAATTTAAAACTAAGGGAGAAGGCATTTTGAACCATTCAGCTAAGAATTTGGTCAGTATTAAAAAGCCAATAATTCCAGAAAAATCCACCAAGTTATGTTCATAGTCTTAGCAGAATAAAAATAAGGTTTACTAGCTAAATGAGTGACAGAGGAGAATTTTTTCTGCATTTTGGAAAATGTTCAGATCGCCCATATTTCTCCACATACCTCATGAGCATCACTGTAAAAACTGCCATCAGGACAAAAGACAGCAGCTCTGTTTCACGTAGGTATCAGTGACCAAACCACTGCTCAAGGAAATAAGAGAGGACAGAAACACATGGAAAAACATTCCATGTTCATAAATAGGAAGAATCAATATCATGAAAATGGCCATACTGCCCTAAGTAATTTGTAAATTTAATGCTATCTCTATCAAGCTACCATGCTATCCCTATCAAGCTACCATTGACTTTCTTCACAGAATTAGAAAATACTACTTTAAATTTCATATGGAACCAAAAAGCAGCCCAATAGCCAAGACAATCCTAAGCAAGAAGAACAAACCTGGAGGCATCATGCTGCCTGACTTCAAACTATACTACAAGACTATAGTAAAGAAAACAGCATGGTGCCAGTACCAAAACAGACACATACACCAATGGAACAGAACAGAGGCCTCAGAAATAATACCATACATCTACAACCATCTGATCTTTGACACATCTGACAAACACAAGCAATGGGGAAAGTATTCCTTATTTATTAAAGGGTGTTGGGAAAATTGGCTAACCATATGCAGAAAACTGAAGCTGGACCCCTTCCTTACACCTTATACAAAAATTAACTGAAGATTGATTAAAGGCTTAAACATAAGACCTAAAACCATAAACACCCTAGGAAAAAACCTACACAATATCATTCAAGACATAGGCATGGGCAAAGACTTCATGACTAAAACACCAAAAGAAAAGGCAGCAAAAGCCAAAATTGACAAATGGGATCTAATTAAACTAAAGAGCTTCTGCACAGCAAAAGAAACTGTCATCCAAGTAAACAGACAACCTACAGAATGGGAGAAAATTTTTGCAGGCCACCCATCTGACAAAGGGCTAATATCCAGAATCTACAAAGAACATAAACAAATTTACAAGAAAAAAAAACCCAATCAAAAAGTGGGTGAAGGATATGAACAGACACTTTTCAAAATAAGACATTTATCTGGCCAACAAACATATGAATAAAAGCTCATCATCACTGGTCATTAGAGAAATGCAAATCAAAACCACAATGAGATACCATCTCATGCCAGTTAGGATGCAGCAAACCACCATGGCACGTGTATATCTATGTAATAAACCTGCATGTTCTGCACAGGTACCCCAGAACTTAAAGTATAATTATAAAAATCCAAAAAAAAGTCAGGAAACAACAGATTCTGGAAAGGATGTGGAGAAATAGGAATGCTTTTACACTGTTGGTGGGAGTGTA